AAGCTACTTTCTACATTTCTCATGTTGTCAAAGTGAGATCTTCATTCCCACTTGAATTTGTATGAATATATTTTTCCACCTTCAAACAACAGTTCTAGCAGCATTTTTCCAGACATTGATGCAAGTGCAAAAAGTTCCCAGTAATTCAAAATCCATGTAATTGTGCACTTGAGAACTTCTACCTAATCTTCAGTTGGAAGTGACTAACTTGCAATGTAATGATATACTGAAAGGCAAATATCAAAAGAATCTAATAGACTTCAACAGCTACCTTTGAAGTAATGAATATGCTTAATTAAAATCATATGCTTGTGGATTGATACCAGTTCTTGACAGTATCGGTCTGTCAGAAAAGACATTTTCAAAGATAAATACATAAAATCTGATCAGCAGTACCAGATGAGTATTTGAAATAGATTTTGTTGATAAGAAACTTGAATTAAGTGAAATGTTATCCCCTCCAATTTCATTTTTAAATCTAGCAGACGTACATATTATAAAATATTACTCAGTTATTTTACCTTGAATTTTTTCAATAAGTTTTTTCTCATTATATAAGCATCTACCTGATTTTGCCTGTTGGCCTGCAAAGACTAAAATATTTATGATCTGGCCCTTTACAGAGAAAGTTTGTGGACCCCTAACTATACCAGTGCTTTTCAAACATGAATGTACAAAATAATTACATCAAAATGTAGTTAAAATGCAGATTCTGATATGGTTGTGCTGGGGTGGGACCCAAGATTGTGTGTGTGTGTGTGTGTGTGTGTGTGTGTGTGTGTGTTTAAAATTATTTTTAGAGAGGGGAAGGGAGGGAGAAAGAGAGGGAGAGAAACAGCAATGTGTGGTTGCTTCTCACGCACCCCCTACTGGGGACCTGGCCCACAACCCAGGCATCTGCCCTGACTGGGAATTGAACTGGTGACTCTTTGGTTCTCAGGCCAGTGCTCAATTCACAGAGCCACACCAGCCAGGGCTTGTTTTCTTTTTTGTTTTTTGTTTTTTAAAAAATAACCATGTCTTTTTAACTAGCAAAGTTAAAATTTTGGTGAAGTCCAATTTATTTTTTTCTTTTTCAAAAATTATTCTTAAGAATTGTGGTAAAATACACATAATATGAAATTTACCATTTTAACCCATTTTTAAATACATCGTTCAGTTTATACTACCAATACCGATATTCATCTTCAGAATTTCTGCCTTACCCAACTGAAACTACATCCACTAAATACTTAATCTCCGTTACACCATGCCCCTCTACCTTTGGTAACCACCATTGTATTTTTGGTCTCCGTGAATTTGAGTACTCCCAGGAACGTCATGTAAATGGATTCACACAGTTCTTATTTTTTCTTTTGTGTCTGGCTTATTTCATTTAGCATAGCATCTTCAAAGTGTACCTATGTTACAGCCTATATCAAAATTTCCTTCATTAAAATTTTTTTCCATTACCATTTATCCCCTCATGTCCTCTTCTACTTCCACCCATACCTCCTCCCTCCTGAAATCACCACACCTGTTGTTCGTGTCTCCTTCATTTTTAACATTGAATAATACTCCATTTTATGTATATACCACATTTTATCTATTCATTGGTGGACATAAGTTGCTTCTACCTTTTGGCTATTGTGAAATATGCTGCTATGAACATGGATATACAAATACCTATTCTAGTCCTCGCTTTCACTTCTGTTGGGTTTGTTCTCAGAAGTGGGCTTTCTGGATTGTATGGTAATTCTGTGTTTAATTTTTTGAGGAACTGCCATACTGTTTTCCTCAGTGGCTGCACCTGTTTACCTTCCAGCAGTGCACAAGGATTCAGATGTTTCCACATCCTAGCGAACACTCATTATTTTCTGTGGTGGTGGTGTTTTTAATAATGGCCATTTTAATGTGTGTGAAGTTGTATCTCATTGTAGTTTTGATTTGTATTTTCTTAATGATTGATGATACTGAGTCTTTTTTTATGTGCTTATTGTCCAGTTGTATATCTTTTTTTGGGAAATGTCTGTTCAAGTCCTTTGCCCATTTTTTAAATTGAGTTTTTGGGTTTTTTGTTGTTGAGTTTCAGGATTTCTTTATATATTCCGGATATCAGTCTCTTATGAAATAATGATTTGCAGGTATTTTCTCCCATCCTTTGTGAGGGATGCCTTTTTGCTTTCTTGATGGTGTCTTTTGATGCACAAAAGTTTTTAATTTTGGTGAAGTCCAACTTACCTATTTTTTCTTTTGTTGCCTATGCGCTTGGTTTCAAAATCCAGGAAATCGTTGCCAAATCCTGTGACTTAAAGTTTTTCCACTGTTTTCTTACAAGAGTTTTATAGTTTTGGGTCTTATGTTTAGATATTTGATCCATTTTGAGTTAAATTTTATATGTGGCATTTAGGTAAGGGTCCAACTTAATATTTTTGCATGTGGATATTCAGTTTTCCAACAATATTTGTTAAAGAGACTGTTCTTCCCTCACTGAATGGACTTGGCACACTTACTGAAAATCATTTGACTGTATATGGAAGGGTTTATTTCAGGGCTCTGTGTTTTATCCCATTGGTTAATATGTCTAGGCTTATACCAACATCGCATACTTAATATGTTTGGCTTGACAGAGTGACCAAGACTGTTTACTGGTATAGAATTTTGTGTTTGTTTTGTTTTGTTTTGAATGGTGGCAATAAAATAGGAAAAACACATGGGAAAAAAATCCCTAACATCATACTGTACACAAATATTAATTTAGGATGATCATTGGACCTCAAAGAAAAACAAAACTTACAAAGACAAATTTTTTTTTTTTACTTTAGGACATGCAAAATTTTCTTAGGATAGAAAAATTAGATAATTTTCACTTCAACAAAATTAAACACATCAGCTTGTCACAGCACCAAAAAAAAAAAAAAATGGAAAAAAAATATCAGGCATAGAGAAATAGTTTTTTTTTTTTACCTATTTATTATCTGATAATGACTTTTATCTAGACTACACAAATAATTTCTACATATAAATAATAACCTAATAAAAAATTGGGCAGGAGATTTGAAAATAATTCTTAACAACATCAGCAATGAAGATACACAAATTGCCAGTAAGCTCATGGAAAGCTGCTAATATCATTAGTAATCAGGGAAATACAAATCAAAATCAAAGCAGAGTAGCACTTCACACTGCTATAATAAAGACTTTAAAAAGTCAGCATCAAATATTGGTAAGCATGTAGGAGTATAAAATAGTACAACTACTTTGGAGACTTCTAGCAGTTTTTTAAGTAGTTTATATGCAACATCTTCATGACCCATCAATTCCACTAGGTACTCAGAAAAAAAACATTTATTTTCAAAAGTATTTGTGCAAGAATATTTGTAGCAACTGTACTTATTTTCAAAAGACGATTTGCGTTTTCAGAATAATCCTGTGGCAGGGTAGAATTGAAAATTTTGTTGTTGTTGTTGTTGTTGTTTTTAAATATAGCATAATCTCAGTGAGTTGTAAGCTCTTTGAGACCAGTCTATCTTATTTCCAGTACCAACTTAAGACTTGACTGGCTTGGCATATACTAGGTATTTTATTTGAGAATCATCATTTCAAAGCAAGAGGGAGTATGAAAAGAGCGGAAGGCGATGAGTTGAACTCTGAGGGTATTCATAGTTCACAGAGAAGAAGCAGAGAAGCAGAAAGGCATAGTTGAATTCTGAAAACTAGAACTGTGTATTTTAAAAATCAAAGATTAAAAATTCTCCCCTCCCCCCCGAAAGGAGTAGTACACAATTTCTGATGTAATAGCAGGATGGGAACAAATTAGAAGCATTAGTGGTACTTGAAAGTACATTGCCAGGAGTATTCTTACAATAGAAGGAATGGGATCAAAAGCAAGAATTGAAGTCTTTCACTTTTTAAAGGTAGTTAACCTCTTTGAGGTGGAAAAAGGAATGTGCAGGGAAGACTTATTACAGATATGGGGTGCAAATAAATGTGGAAGCATAGTCATTATCCACCTATTCTTCCCCAGATGAGGATGAAAGGTAATGAAGGGAACTTCAGATAAGGTGTATAGGAATAGTTCTTAACTTTTAGGAGTGGATTGGCAGAATGTGTGGAAGTGCTCTTGGGTTGATTGAAAATGTTCCACATGTGATTCTGGATTCTGATAATACCCTTTGTTCTCCCTTTGAGAATCACTCATTTATGTCAGTAGAGAATTAGCAGGCATGGATAAAATAATTAATAGTTTAACTGAAGTTTAGCTAGAATTTGTGGTGCTTTAGTCTGATAGTAGCAATTTTATGAGGATCCCAGTTTTCCCCCCTTAATTCTCAAGGTGATTGTTTAATAACAGATGTTACCTTATTGATCTGTTTGAGTATATGTTTGTATGTTTCATCTACCTGATAGAAACTGAAAGCATTTAAAACTATCAGCTGTACAAAAATCTTTGGGATGTGATGGTAACAGAATAAACCTTCTCAGTTTAAAATATAGTTAGTCAGATAAGGTGTATATACAAAGAAAATAATTAAGTAGTAATGTCCCTTAGTGCCAGAATTCTGTATACGTTTTGGATAGGGAAATTAGGCTATTAGAGTGGTATTTTTCAAACTGTGGACCCATGGTCCATTAGTGTCTCACGAAATCAATTTAATAGCTCACAACCAACGTTTTCCTTTTATAATGGACTGCAGTAGACTAGAAAATCCTGGCATGCACTGCATGCATTAAGAAGTATTTGTAGAACTTTTAAAAATACATATTTATATATTTATTTATGTATCTGTGTCCTGAGTTGGGTTGGAAATATATTTCTTATTGTGGATTGCAGTCAGAAGTATTGGAAATCCACTGGAGGTTTTGGTAAACTAGAGTGGATATTATAAATATCGTTAAGTCTCCTACTTCTCTTTGTAGAATCCATTTATAGTTTATTGACATCTTAACATAAATGTTTATTTTGTGTTTGTATATAAAGATATATATGTGTGTGTGTGTGTTTTCTTTTTCCTTATTAGGTGCAATGGATGAGCTCCATAGTCTGGATCCAAGAAGGCAGGAATTATTGGAAGCCAGATTTACAGGAGTGGCGAGTGGCAGCACTGGGAGCACTGGCAGTTGCAGTGTTGGAGCTAAAGTGAGTAGAGCTGTAGTCATTATCTGACATCCTTTCTTTGTATTAAATGATCTAAATTATTTTTTGTAAGGGGTTCCTGTGTACATGCTTAACAGGAAAATACTACTCACACAAATTTTTATAATGTGCAGAAAAAACTCAGTGTTTATGAACCTGATTTCTAATACAGCATAACATATTCCAGGGGCATTATGATCTAATGCAGCATATTAGGTTTCAGAGGTATAAAAGACTGTGGCAGATTGGATTGCCTGTCTCCCTTTAAAAAGTTTTTATCTTTCTTGTCCTCTGTTTCTTTCTTTCCCCTATCACCCATGTTCCTACCTCTACATTAATCTAGTGCTTCTAACTGCTGCATAAAGCTTAATACGTGTGTCTGTTACGCTTTTCACTGATAGACATCAAATTTTCTTCAACTCTACGCTGCCTCACACTGCAGTCAATTTCTTGCTTTCTTCTAGACCTCTGTGAGTAATTATTTAGGATGTATGCCCAAGAGCAGGATTACTAGGACAATAGGGTAGTACAAGATTGCTATTCAGAACAGTTGTGTAAAACCAACGTGCACTTTCAGCAGAGTGCATGAGTATTTGTATATCCTCTCATCCCAGAAACAACTGGCATCATCCAGATTCAATTTTCTTTATTTCACTTAGTATAACCTTCATTTCTGCCTGGGTCTTTTTTATGCTGTTGAAGTACCCAGTGCATTCCTTGAGCATCCTTATCATCAGTTTTGAACTCTGCATCTGATAGGTTGTTTATCTCCATTTTGTTTAGTTCTTTTTCTGGAGTTTCTGTTCTTTCATTTGGGCCGTATTTCTATGTCTCCTCACATTGGCAGCCTTCCTGTGTTTGTTTCTATGTAATAGGTAGACCAGCTTTGACTCCCTGTCCCAGTAGAGAGGCCTATTGTAGAAATTGCACACCATAAGTTGTATGGGGCGGAGACTTAAGTAATCACCATGGTGGGGCAACCTGTGTTGGCCAGGTTGATGGGGTCTCAGATATGGTGCAGCTGCTCTATGGCTCTCTGTGGGGAGGGCTCAGAAAAGGGACAGTCACTGCTGCCTGGCCTCTGGAGTTTTGTCTGGGAGGCAGCTGTCCCCTGGCACTCCCCATGATGCCAGACAGTTTCTCCCTGTAAAGCACTAGTGCCCCTCCAGCTTTTGTCCTGGTGCTGGAGTCTGGAAGGAGTAAGTCTGCCTGAGTTCCAAGTCTGTTGTGGATGGACCCTTTTAAGAGGAGACTCCTGAGAATCCCACTGTTTCTTCTACCATCCTGAACCCCATTGGTTTTTACAGCCAGAAGTGATGAGGACTTAATCTTCCTGGCACTGGAATGATGGACTGGGTGGTCTGGTGTGGGCCTTGGACCCCTCGCTCCTGAGGTATTCCTCTTGATTTTTATCCACCGTATGTAGGTGTGGTACCACCCATTCCATGTCTCTGTGTCTCTGTCCCTTCCACCTGTCTGTATCGATGTGACGACTTTAATTCCTTGGTTGTCAGACTTCCATACAGCTTGATTTTCTGATGAATCTGGGTGATAGTTGTTTCGTAGTTTAGTTGTAATTTTTGCTGTGGTTGTGCAAAGAGATGAGTCTGTTTAATTATGCCTCCATCTTGACCAGAATTCTGGTTCTGTTTTATTTATTAAAAATAGACTTTAAGTTTATTCCTTGTACAATCTCTTAAGAAAAAATGAAAGTCCTGAAATAGCAATCCTTACAAATACATACAGCTGCTTGACAGAGAAGGTTAAAAACTAAAACTGGGTCCAGGAGATCCGGGTGGTATTCTAAAAATTAAATACTTCTTCCCCAACCCAAGGCCACAAAGATATTCTACAGTTTCTTCGATTACTTCTGTAGTTTACTGTCATATTTGCTCTTTAGTACATGTAGGCTGTACCTTTATTCTATAGTATTGATAGGGATCCAGTTTTATTTTCTTCATCTACTGAACCAGTTTTTTTCCAGTAATGTTTCTTAAATAATTTGTGTTTTTCCACTGTTTTGTGATGTCGTGTATATGTGTGGATCTGCTTCTGAAATTTCTCTTATGTTCCAGTGGTCTCTCTGTATTCTAGTACTAGTACCACATTAAAAAGCAGCACCACCACAAAGAAAAAACAGTTTGGTGTCCTTTTATATGGTAGAACAAGTCTGTTCTTTAATCTTGGTTAAGTTAATTTAGTTATTTATGGATCTTTAGTCATCAAATTTGAGTATTTCTTCATTTGCTTGTTAGCATTTGGGGATTCTTTTTCTGTAATAGCTTATTTGTGTCTTTTTCCTTAGATAATTCAAATGGAATTTTTTTTAAATGGGTTTTAAAGATAACTAGGAAGAGGAATGGGGAGGAAAAAAATTGTTTATGTGGTGTGTGTTGGGGGCGGGGGGCGGGGATTGATTGATTTGCTATTTCACTTATTTATGCATTCATTGGTTCATTCTTGTATACTTCCTGACCTGGGATCAGACTGGCCACCTTAGAGTATCAGGATGACACTCTTAACCAGCTGAGCTACCCAGCCAGGGCCTAGAATTTTTATCATGGATGCATTGAATTTGTAGATTAATTTTGAGAGGACTGAACTTTCATAAGATTAAGTTGTCCCCTTTACGTACATGAAATGTCTCTACATTTGTAGAGGAAATGTCTCCTCTGTGGCGTTCTTAGGAATTTTTGGTTAGTTTCTGTGAATTTTTTGGCTAATTCTTTGATACTGTCAATTAGTTTCTGTGGCTTAAGTATTTTTTAATTATATTCTTTAGTTATTGCTGACCTAGGAGGCTTTGGATTTTTGTAAGTTGGTCTTGTTTTGTATGTAGTAGTCTTGCTGTTAGTCTCTTTTATTGGTTGTAGTAGTTTGTTGATTCTCTCTTTAGATTTCTCTGCAAAAAAAAATTATCTTCCAAAAATAACAGTTTTATTTCTTATACCTCAGTATATTTATTTATCCCTTATAGTGGTCATCAACTTCAGTACTATGTCTATTGAAGTTTCTCCATTAAGTGTAATGTTTGCAGTAGGCTTTGTGTATATAACTATGTCTAAATTAAAGGAGAGCTTTTCTGTTACACTGCTTAGTTAAAGAAGTGTTTGTTTAAAAATCATAAATATTATTGAACTATATGAAGGTCTTTTTTTGTTCTTGGTTGACTCATAAAATATTTTTCATTTGGAGTGTTAATGTGAGTTATGTTAACAGATTTTTAAAAAAAATCCTCACCCAAGGATATGTTTATTGATTTTAGAGAGAGAGGACAGAAAGTAAGAAACATGAATGTAAAAGAGAAACATTGATTGGTTGCCTCCTGTACATGCCCTGACTGAGGATCAAACCTGAAACCTAGGTATAAGCCCTTACTGGGGACTGAACCCACAACGTTTTGGTGCACAGCATGATGCTCCAACCAACTGAGCCACCTGGCCAGGGCTATTAATATATATTTTTTTTAATTTTTCAAATACATTTGTCTCCATTTTCCTGCCACCACTTACCCCTGACCCACCCACCCCCACCTCCCACCCTCAGTCCTTCCCCACAGGGGATTTTTTAAAAATGTTGAACCTGTTTGCGTTTCTGGGGTAAACCCTACTTGTTTATGATACACTATTTTTAAAAATACATTAATTGGATTTAATACATGATTAACTGTTTCATTTAGGATTTTTACGTATATACTTCTGAAGAAATACAAGTACAGACCTGAAGAGTTCAGTGAGTTTTGACAAACGTGTAAATGTGTAGTAATCCACATCCCTGTCAAGATACAGAACAATGTCATTATCCTACCTTGTCTCTTTTTATAAATCAATATCACACTAGCCCCATAAAATGAACAGCTTCTCCTTTCACTATTTTCAGTTTTTTCCAACATCCTGTATATGATAGAAAATGTTCAGTGGAAGATGATGAGGCATTTACCTGTAAAACTATCTTGGCCTGGAGTTTGTTGGCAGCAGAATTCTTTTACCACCATTTTAATTTTTAAATTATTATTTAATTAACCCATTTCATTTAAGCTTTTCAGACTTATTAACGTATAGTTATAATACTTTTAAAAACCTCCTTTGTTATTTCCTTTCCATTCATTCTTTCATATTTTCCTTTTCTATACATTCTTTCCAGGGCTCTTGACCAGTCTAATGACTATTTCAAAGAAACAGATTCTGGTTTTAATCTGTCTCACTGGTTCCTCTGCCCTGCGGCTCACCCCCCCTCCCTTGTCTTTATAGTTTACTTGTTACTTTGTAGCTCTTCTTTCAGTTACTGAATTGAGTGAATTTGTTTATTTATATAGAGATAGAATTAACATATAATAGAATAGATAGATTTTAAGTGTTTAGTTATGAGGTTTGCCCACCATGGTTTTTATTAAGGTGTCATTTATATGTGGTAAAATTAACCCTTTTTATTACATAATTCTGCTTTAAGTTTTGACAGATGTACACAATTGTGTAATCCTACCAGAAATTAAGATATAAAATAATTCCCAAAGTATTCCCTATGCCCTTTTGTAGTCAATACCTTTAGGTTGCCCCTGGCAAACATTTACCTCTTTTCTGTACTTATAGTTTTGCCTTTGCAAGAATATCATATAAATGGAATAAGTATAATATGCAACCTTTTTTAAAAAAAATTTATTGATTTGAGAGAGAGAGAAACATGAATTTTTTGTTCCACTTGTTTATACATTCATTAGTTGATTCTTTTATGTGCCCTGACTGGGCATTGAACTCACAACCTTGGCAGTGCTAGGACAACACTATAACCAACTGAGCTACCTGGCCAGGGCCTATAACATGTAGCCTTTTGAGTCTTGACTTCTTTTAACTTAGCATAATGCATTCATTTGTGATTCATCCACATTGTATTTATCAATAGTCACTTCGTATTGCTAAATAGTATTTCATTGTACCACACTAGCTATGTTATGGTTGTTATGTGGTGGTCTTTTAGAATGTCAGTCAGCTAAAGTACGAAGAACA